TTTCTCCCCTGTGGTTTTCTCTTTCAGTGTCTTCTCTGCCTCCAACTTGTATGCATGTGTGCATGTGTGTGTGTGCATGTGTCTGACTGTCACACACAGAGTTAGGCTGGCAGGAGGTTTCCCCACACCGCAGCAAACACCGGGCACTCACACTTCCGCACAGAAACACACTTACACCCCTTTCCCCAGCATTGCCTTGCTCTGTGCAGATACCCTGTCACACACAGACCAGACATACACTACCCTCATGTTGCAGAGTGGGGTGCTCTCCTAGTAGCTCTGAGCTTGGGGAGGGGGCTCCAGTCATTTCTAGTCAGGGCAGCTGCTTGTCTGTGAGCTCTGTTCATGTACTAAAATGGGTCCCTCTAGCTGAAGTCTCGGGGTTCCTCTGCTGTAATGGGTAAACCAGAGCAGAGTTAGTACTCTGCCACCCCTAACTGCCTTGCTCATGGGGGATTTTCAGGACACATCGTTTTCCAGGTTTTATCAGTGCTGTAAAGGGGCCTGGGGAGGCAAGAGATAGAGCCTTGTGGAAATGAAAATTCCTCCCAAACGCATATCTATGAATCACCAGGCCTGGGAGCCAGGGAGCTGTCATTCCTGCCAGGCCTGGCTTGAGGACTGGGCTGCTGGCATGCAGCCTGGAGCATGGGGCCATGACCTCACACTTAATCCAGTCCGAGTGGGCAGGTCACCCTTGTGTCTTTTTTTATTTTTGAAGATCTATATTTACCTGGCTTGGGCCTGGGACATGTAGAAATCTCAGTAGCCACTGTGCTGCTTTAAAAAGCTTTCTTTCTAAACTTGGAAAAATATAGAGCCTGTATTCCCTCCCTTCCCGCTCCAGCTCCTCCTTTCTCCTTGACACGTGCCCAGCATCCCCTGGGTTTCTAGGTGTGTTTGTTTTGCCAGCTGTGCTCTGGGAGCTTGGTGAGGAGGGCCCTACCCCAGGCTGGGCTGGTGACTTCAGTGCCTTGGGGATGTGTGGGCAGAACCAGCCTAACATCTCTTCGCCCCAGGGGCTTTTGGGGGGAATTTCAGTCTTTTCCTCAGCAGTGCCCAAGGTTGGAAAGCTTGTTGCTAGAGTGGCAGAGCTATTTGGCACCATTTTGTTTACCTCTGCTAAGTTTAAAAAGGACCCAAGAACTCTGGGGAACAATTTACATCCACAAAGTACTTGAACACCATTTATCTGAGTGTAGACATCCAGGCGCTCAGGAAGCAATGGATGGGAAATGGATGAATTTGGACTAAGGGGTCCCTCCAAGGTGACACTCAGGGTTGTAGCTCCCTCTCTGCCCCCATGGGATTTCTAGCATTCCCTCACCTCTGCACAACCTGTACTAAAGTAACTCTTTGTTTACCTCTAGCAGAGCTGCGCCTCTCCAGAAAGTTCAGTGACTATGGTATGACAGTGCCCTGCAGCACCGATGTTCGGGGACGCTTCCTCTCCCATGTTGTGTCTGGCCCAGCAGCAGCCTCTGAGGGGAGTGCCGCAGTGGACAGGCCACCTGCACCACCGTCACACTCTGGTCACCCCCGGGTGGCCCGCAGCCCCCTGCGCCCAGAAGAAGCAGCCTGGCAGCTTGGCCGGGCAGGACGCTACTCCCTCTACTTCAACATTACTGTTTTCGGGGAGGAACTGCACTTGCGCCTGCGGCCCAACCGGCGGCTGGTGGTGCCCGGAGCTTCCGCAGAGTGGCAGGAGGACTTCCAGGAGCTCTTCCGACAGCCTTTGCAGCTGGAGTGTGTCTACACTGGGGGTGTCACAGGCATGCCAGGAGCAGCTGTCGCTATCAGCAACTGTGACGGATTGGTAAGGGACAAGCCCTTCCTTAAGTTGCATTTTGTCCCTTGTCCCAGTCCTGGCTACCTGAGCTAGGCTGACCTGTTTATCTCCTTGGCTCCCCAGTGTTTGGGACTCCTGTGGGCAGGCCGTGGAGTCTGGGCCAAGTCAGGGGCTGTGCTGCTTTCCAGAGAGAAACCCACATGCTCCGCTGGCCACCAGGCTCATGCACTGTCAGGTGTGAAGTGACCAAGCTGGGATCGCTTGTTCATTCCCTCACCACCCGTGGTCACACAGGGGCCACAACATACCTGGCAGGGATCTCTGAGCCCAGACACATGCAGGGGTGAGGAAGACAGGCTCTGCTGGGATTGAATGAATCCCGGCTGGGCAGCTCACTAGCCATGAGGCTTTGGACAAGTTACTTACCCTCCCTGTGGTTTTTGCCCTTAGGCGTGAAGTGAGGACTTATTCATTCTGCACATATTTTCTGTGTGTGTCCCATATGGCCAGCATAGTTCTGGCTCTGGGCGCTACAGCAGCACCCAAGGCAGACACAGTCCTTGCCCTCATGGAGCTGATGGGCTGGTGATCATATGACCCACCTCACCCGGCAGCACGGTTGGTGGGTGGCACTTGCCTGGCACATAGTCAAGGCTCTGTCGGTATTAGCTGTTGTTATTCTTCTTACTGTTACATCCCCTACTGTCTCTAGTCCTGAAGCCAGTCTGCTCTCTCCCAGTGCTCTACTCTGTGAGTTCCCTTTCTACCTCCTCTCAGGCACCACATTACAAATCAGAAAGCCGCGCTTTTTTCCACACTCAGCTCCTGGCTCTCAGTCCCCTCACTGTTCTATCCTCGGTGTGTCAGGCCCCCATGAGCCTGCATGGTAGCCCCAGAGACATGATGGGCACTCTTTCTGTGGTCTCTGCTTTGTCAGGTATGAGCTGATGTGTCCCAGGAGAGGACCCGCTTGCCCCTCTGCCCTTCAGCTTTAAGAGGGGGATGAGTCAGATAGGGGCACGAGAAAGGGGAGGGACTTTCATCTTTGGCGGGGCTGAGAGCACTTCTCACTGTCTTCTCATCCCTCAGAGGTATCTTCCTGCTGAATGGCATGGCTGTATTTGTCTGGGCCAGTGTTTCTCAATCCCTTTTTTCATTATCACCCCCCTATGGAGACATTTTTTTCCCTAACCGCCACCTCCCATGAAATTTTAATACCACAGATATATTGAATATCTGTTTATAAATTGTATGTATATCTGTGCTTTATATATAAAAATACTAAGTTTTTTGCCTTCCAAAGAACCAGTTTTTGCCCCATTGGAGGTGATAGGGTCCCCCATGGAGAGGCATGGTCTAGGCAGTGGCTGGTTCTCAAAGTTGAGAGGGCATTGGAGTCACCAGAAATGCAAGGGTTCTGTGGAGCAGACTTTGAGAAGCCTAGATTGTAAGGACAGCTGGGGAAGGCTAAGACCTTGTCCTGATGCCAGAGTGAGGCTTGGCTGCCAGCCTTCCCTGGCTCAGCAGTTCTGTGCAGCAGGAGGCCTCAGTCAGTCTGCTGGCTAATGCTGTGCTTTGGCCACAAGATTGGGTTGAAAATCCAAGGTGACATTTGGAATCACCCCGGGATGCAGTGTCTGTGCTGATAGAGAGACAGGAAGCGCCGGTGCAAACTGGTGGCATGGCTGAATGATGTGGTAAACTCCTAAAGTCATTAGCCATGTAGACAGACTGTCAGCTGTGCAGCAACAGGGCTGGGCTTCCCACTTCTTTGACTGCCCCGTAAAGGTACACTGTGGACCTAACCGAAGGTGTCAGTGGGTGATCATTACCATTAATAAGTAATTGTCCACCCCCTTTGCACCCTGGAAACCTTGTCATTGAACTAACTCAGTCGCCTTTTGATAAGTGGTAACTGTGATGATGCAGGGATCAGGGTAGCGAAGGACCCTCACCCAGCAGCCCATGAAGCAAGATCATGTGGTCACAGGGTGGGTGTTCAGAGTGACAGGCTGCACTCTGGTTGTTAGGGCTGGGAGGCTGCTTGGTTGGCCTGGGGCCAGGCATTGCTCAGCTGTTGTTGCTGACTTTTGGTGGCCTCCGAGGAAATGTTCTCATCAGCTGTGTGACTTAGGCAAGTCACTCCCCATCTCTGGGCTTTAGTCTTCTCATGTGTCCAAAGAGGGGCTGCGTTTGGTGATCCCTGGCAGATGGAAATTGATCCTGTGGGACATGTGCAGAAACTGGATCAATTCTCAGAGGCTGGCCCACAGATGGGCTCCTGGGGGGCCTGTTGGACAGTGGAGCTGAGGCTTGCCTGGCCCCCCGGCCTGGGTGAGGGCTTTAAATGGACCCCATAGGGCTGAGCCTCGGGCTGGGCCCTTGCTTTTGCCCTTGACTGTCTCCAGAGGCCAGTCCCTAAGGCCAGCTCCCAGGGGCCTCCCTATCCAGGTCCCTGACAAGGGCCGCAGCCCAGCACAGGGCACTCCCCAGGGCAGAGATGACCTCACTTATAGCCCATTCCAGAAAACTGCCCTGTGTCCTGTGAGGATGAGAGACTCTTCACAATGACCCAGCTGAGCCATCTTTGGACTTGAAGGCTATAGTGCAGAATGTCTGATAAGATTTAACTTAACATCTTCATGTAGTATTTGAATTTTAACCTCACATTCTTCAACATCTCAAATGCCGATGTCATTCCAAAACACACACACAGAGATATATATCTATATATATAGTGCCAAAAAAGGTATGCACATTTTAAGAAAGGAAAACTGTATTAAAATTGTAATGCTCAATATATACTGATAGCAAAAGTTGAATACAAGTCACATTTGACCTATGCAATGACAAGAGGTGCTCAAAGTGGTTACCATCAGCATCCAGACACTTCTGATTACGGCGCACTACTGCTTTAGCAACGTTGACCAAAGTGTCCTCTTATGTACATTTTTTTTGGTGTCCCCGGTATATACCGACCACTGGTCATGAGCAAGGTCCACAGGGAGATGTAAGAAAATGAAAATGACACAAGTTATAACAGCAACAGGAACACTTCCCACAGCCCAGGCACAGCACACATACAGCCACAGCATACGTACTGTCACAGCACATGTACTGTCATATGCATTCACTAACTTTGCACATTGTGTAGATGAGGGAACTGAGCCGTGGGGACTAGCTCCGAAGATAATGCAGGTAGTTTCCAGCAGCACAGGACTTTCTAGTTTGCAAAGCCCTTCAGTTGTATGCATCGTGTAGGCAGATACTGTTATTACCCTGCTTTGCAGTCAGGTCCCTGTCCTCGAGGACGTTGGGGGGATCCCACAAATAGTTTTAACGTTACCTTGTTGGTTTTCCACAACACAGTGGGGATGGGTACTCAGTAAACGGGAGTGATTATTATCTGTGGTGTCAGAGAAGATGATATTTGAACTGGGTCTTGAAAGATGAGTAGAAATTTGCTGGGGCCAAAGGGCGGGCAGGCATTCTGGGCAGAGGGAAGAGGAGCAATTGCGTGAGGGAGCGCCATCTAGGTGGGGCTGCGGAGGGGATCCGAGAAGACAGCACTGGGCAGGCAGCCCTCGTCTGACTTTGAAGGAAGGGCAGGATAAGAGAGGGGGCCCAGGGCAGGGATGCGGCAGCCTGCTATCTGAAAAGAATCTGAGTTGGCAGTTGGGGGATATGGCTGTGTGACCCTGGGCAAGCTGTTTGTTCTCAGGGCCTCACTTGCCTTTTTGGTGTATTGCAGAGGCTGAAATGAACGAGTTCAGAGCCCTTTCCAGCTCTGTCACTGGCACTTTGTGACACAGGGCAGGCCTTGCAGGAGGAATTTGAAACCAGTCCCCTGTAAGCCCATCGATGACTCTTCCCTCCTTGGTCAGTCCTGGGGTCTGCTCCGTGCCAGGCCTGGGCTGGGCTGCAGGTGCAGAGACGAAAGACACCAGTCCTGAGCTCAGCCCTCGTGGCTGAGCAAACCTGCCAGTTGTAAGATGGTCTGAACAAAGCCCCCTCTGTGTAGACCCAGCCTTGCAGCCATTTGGCATCTTAGCTGTTCTGGTGAGAAGTGCCCTGTCTAAACTGGTGGCTCAATCTTCATTTCCAACATTGGGGACATTGACCATCACCCTTTTCCAATTCTCCTGCCATCCAGAGTCACTCACCATTGGGCACCTGGGACAAACACTGGGAGGGTTCCATGCATTGCTGTTAATTCATGCCTGAAACTGAGCACTGGGCACTCTACCTCACTTCTCACATGCTCTTCTGAAGGGCCTCGTGTGTCCCAGCTTGGGAGGGGCTCGAGAGGGACTTAGGATAGAGGAAGCCAGGAAGGACCCTTGCTCTGGATGAGTTTGTAGGCTAATAGGGACCCACACATAAAAGTCAACTAATTAAAATCCTGTGTGAGGCAGCAGCAGAAAGACCCATTTATTTTGGTTAGGGCATCCAGGAAGGCTCCCTGGAGGAGGTAGCATTGGCTCCAGACTGTTCAAACATTATAAACAACAAAGAAAATGGTGGCGCCTGGCCAGCAGAGAGAATGATTGACTCAGGCAGGCTTGAGGATGTTTGGGAGAGGGAAATAAGAGATGTGGGCAGGCTCCATTCTACCTGCAGTGTTTCTTCTGGAGTTGGGTGTAGCTGTCAGACCCTAGGGTTCCAGATTGAGAATGTGCCTGGGCAGCAGCAGCAACCCAATGGAGCACTTTCCAGAGCCTCCCTGGGGGACCCCGGCCAGTTCTCCCAATGCCCCCGTGACCCAACCACTGAGGGCCTGTTGGCAGGGCGGACCTGGGTAGAACCCCTGGCTGGGGGCAGGTGCAGAACAGACCCTCTGCTAGTGACTATGCCTCTGAATTCCTGGGAGGAACATAGAGGCCTGGGGTGGGGCCAGTTCTTTGTGGGTCCTCAAGGGGTGCAGGAATGCAGTTAGTAGAGTGGGGTTCCTGCTTCTTGCTGGGGCTGTGTGCTCACTGTGCCCGTCTAGAACCCAGACTGCCAGCCTCCTGAAGGGTGCTTCTCTG